GAATGCACCTCCCGGGCCTCGCTCACCTGGCTGGCGTCTCCTGAGAGCAAGGACTCCGGTTTCCCCGTGCCCCCAAGGTGTCTGTTAGAAGGGTGTGTTGGTAACAGGCATGCTTCCGGCTCAGATCTGGGAGGATTTCCTGCAGTTCTGATTGTGAGTCAGCCTCACAGAGAGCGAGTGCACAGGCAGGAGCGTGAGGTTCCTCTCCAGGCCTGGTGTGGCGCCAGGAAGGTGGTGTGGCCCTGGCAGGGCTTGGGCAGAACTGGAGAGACTTGGGTTCCAGCCCGACGCTGCCACTACAGATCTAGGTAACCCTGGGCAGGTCACTGGGTTTCTCCGTTTACTTGGCAAGTCCAGATGGGGCTAATGCGTGCCTGTGCCGAGGGGTTAAGATGAAATGAAAGAAAGGGTCTGATAATAGGCAGCTGCTATTGTTGTATTATTTATATCTGAGCCTAGGCCTGTGGGAGCTCAAGACTCGGGCCTGGGTTCAAGTCCTGACTCCATCACTGACTGACTCTGTGTCCTTAGAGACTTCGTTGAACCTCAGTTTCCCCATCTGTAAAGTGGGAGTGAAGTCCCAACCTTCCTGGTTGGAAGGATGAAATAAGATCACTCATGTAGATGGTCTGGCCCCTGGTCGATCAGTCAGAGACTGCTGCTGTTCCTTTTCCCTGAGTGGGCTCAGTGGAGCCGGGTTCCCAGCGCAGTCTCCCCTACTTGCACCCCATCTGGGGTGGGCTGACACCTCCATGGGTAGTCACAGTTTTCCAGAAAGTTCAATGGGAGGCCTGCCTGAGCTTGTGCTACTTGTGGAGGTGGCTTCTGCCTCTGCTTCTACCCTGACCCATGTCTAGGCAGCTCCCCAGGAGCCCCAAGGAGGGTGGCACCTGCAGGACATGGTGGGTAGGCGGGCTCTGCCTTCTGTCCCCCAGGGGCGCTCTTGCCTCCTGCCCGCGGCTCTGAGCCCTTCCTGCCAGGCACGCGCGTGCTCACTGAGCACCGAGTGCATCTGAGCTGCAGGCACCGCGCGCTCACTGAGCACCGAGTGCATCTGAGCTGCAGGCACCGCGCGCTCACTGAGCACCGAGGGCATCTGAGCTGCAGGCACCGCTCATCCCCCTCAGGACTCCTGGCCGGCTGTCTCCTGCTCTGCCTCCCTCCAGCCTGCTCCCACACTGCAGCCCAAAAGGTTTCAAAAGATCGCTCCCCTGTTTAAAACTCTTCAGTGGATCCCTTAACCGTGAGCTGTGGAATCCCCCTGCCTTCCAGCCCCTGCCTTTCCCTGCCTCGTCTCTCACCAGACCTCGCTCTCTGCAGTGGAACAGTTCCCTGCTTCCTGATTGGGACACTCAGCACGTGCGGTCCTCTGCTGGACCGGCTGTCCTGCCTCCGCCCCTCCCCCGCTAGCGCCCCCCACACAAAGGGATCTTTTCTGGACACTTTCTGAGTTGTTCCTCCCGCCCCCTTTCCTGTGTGTTTTGCTTTTCCACACATTTGGTTCATTTTTCATCACAGTTGGTAACAATGGGTCTGAAAGGTGTGTCTGCTCAGGCAGGACTACTGCCTGCGGTAACCGGTATCCCCCAGATCTGAGGGATCCAAAGTGGCAGAGGTGTCGGTCGTTCTTGCTCCCATTACACGTCCGTCACAGTCTGCTCATGGCAGGGACGCAGGCAGATGGGCGGTGACCAGCTGGGACATTTACCGCCGCTGTGCCGGAGTGAAGAGAGGGCTCTGGGGAGTTCTGCGCCAGCATCGGGGTGCCAGGGCCAAGAGTAGCCTCGCAGGCCCGCCCGCCCAGAAGGGGGCCCACAGCCCCAGTCGCCTCGGATTTGCTGCTGACGTGTAACTCGAGGTGCTCTGGTGTTCGCCCTCACCTCTCCTACCTTCTGGAACCTGGTGCCACTCTCCTCGCTACTTGTCTGCTCCGTCACCATTCAGACACGCCCACGCCATGCCCACGCAAGAGAGAAGCAGTTCTCTTGACCCACATCCACCTAAATTTTCTCCATTTTCTTACCTCTGTTCTCTGACCCTGCTGCAGTGTGGATTCTGCCACCCAGGGCTCTGGAATGGTTCTTTCAGGGCAGTGCTGCTCAGCCTTGGCCGTATGTTAAAAAACAAAATAAAAACCCGAAGGATTGTGATTTAATTGACGTGACTGGACCCAGGCACCCGTAACTTTGCCAAGCTTCCCCGGGGCTCCTAACGGGAAGCCAGGGTTGAGAACCACTCCTGGGCCCTGGGCCCTGCGTTCCGTCTCCGGGACATGTGTCTGCTCTCCCCCTCCTTGATCGCTGGGAGGACCTGTCTGTATCAGTTTCCTGTATCGGTTTCCCATGGCTGCTGTAACAAATACCATGCACTGCGTCACTGAACGCAGCAGAAGTCAATTTTCTCCCTGTCCCGGAGGTCAGAAGTCCAAAATCAGTGCGCCAGCAGGGCTGCACCCCCGCCCCGGGCCCCAGGGGAGCAGCCATTCCTTTGCCCTCTTCCAGTGGCCCCAGGCATTCCTTGGTCACAACCTCTGTCTCAGTGGTCACATCACTGTTTCCTCTTGGGTGTGTCTTTCTTGTAAGGAGACACGTGATTGCATCAGGGGCCATCCAGATAGTCCAGGACAAAACCTTCTTCCAAGATGTTTAATAAGTGCATCCCTGCCATATAAGGGCATGTGGATCCTGGGGATTAGGATACACATATTTTGGGGGGCTACCATTCAGCCCTCGACTCTGACCAGGTGGGCCACTCCTCCTCCTCGACATCTGAGCGTTCTTGCCATCTGCACACCACAGCCCCGCTCCCTCCCAGCTCTCCGGGGCTCTCCTCCAAGCCCACCCTCTTCTGTAAAGCCCCGGGGTGCTGGTGCTCCTCAAGGCTTCACCTGGGCCCTTTCCTCCATGCTGTCTCCCTGGGTGAGCTCACTCAAGACCACAGCTTCCGTTACCTGGGTTCCCTCTGACATCTGCAGCCTCCGTCTCTCTGAGAACGCCAGACCCTCATATCCGGGGGGCTTCGTCCATTTATACTTGGAAACGCAAACGTTTCCCAGTTTAACGTAACAGATCAAATGGACCGTGCCTCTCTCCCCACCCCCTGCCCACTTTACCCGCTTAGCACTTGGTCTTCTTCCGGGGCTCTCGGTCTCAAAGTGTGGAAATCGCTTCCCACCTGGGCCCAACCTGAAGCGTTACCCTCGACACCTCTCTGTCCACTGTTTGTGCTTCCCCAGAGGTTGCCATGGCTTTGATTGGACATTTTTTAAGGTGACACCCCATGTCTCTCTCCCTACTGGGCTGTAAGCTTCACGGGAGCAGGCCTCTGCCCCTTCAGTAACTTCTCCTCTCCCAGCACCCAGCAGGGCCTCTGGTGGATGGAGGACTCTTAGTTGAGGATTATTTCGCATTTGCTCTGTGCTGAGGGCACTGCATGCGATAACGGGGTTCTTGCTCATGCACCCTAGGAGAAAGGCATGCTATCTTCCCTGTTGGACAGATGGGGACCCCCAGGTCACCCCGGGAGCAAGTAGAGGAGCTGGGATCCCAGCTCTAACCACAAGGATCCCCTGCCTCTCTAGCTGGATCCTCACCATAGCCAGCGGGAGGCTCAGAGAGGCGAGGTCGCCTGTCCAAAATCACACATGGTTGGCAGGCCCCTGGACTGGAAGCATCAGTGTTCCCGATGCTGAGCATTTTTGGGAACCCAGTAAACATTTGGCTGAGTGGGCACTGAGCTCATTTTGTCAGGGAATCCAGTGACTCAGTGGACCCTGAGCCTGGGTGTGAGTGCCGCTGGGTCCTATGCTGGCTGGACAACTCCTGAGCAATCTGGTGACCCGATGTCCTAATAGGCGGGCCTGCCGGCTCTGGCCCTGCTGGCCCCGAGGCCTGGGCTGGATTCCTCCACAGGAGGCAGCTCACGTGGATGTTCAAGACACGCTCAGCCGCCTCCCCAGCCAAGGCAGCCACTTTCTTGTCCACGTCCCTAAGTTCCAGAGAAGGTCCCACCCTGGTGGAGATGTCAGAGTTTTCTGGGCCCCCCGGCCTCCGTGACCCGAAACAGCAGATAACAAAGGCATTTCCCCGCTGGGCTCCTCTCAGCCGCAGAGGGAAACCCCCCGCGAGACGGGCTGTTCCTGTGGCCCATGCGTATCCACCTACACTGTCTTTCTGAATCCTTACATTGTCCTTGGACAGGGAGGCAGTCATATCCTGCTGTTTTTCAGTTGAAACTGAGGCTCAGAGAGCGAGTGTCTCGTCTAAGTCACATAGAGGAAGGGGCAGAGCTGGGGGTCAGGCCTGACAGGCTGTGTCCCAAGCACCTGTCCTTGAACCCCTGGCTTTATGTGCAGAGCATGCTCACGGGGCCGTGCATGTAGAAGACGGTCACCTAGATGGCCAAGTGTCTAGTGTCCTTTCTGGAGCCCTGGAAAGATGTGGCGTAGCTTTAGTATCGATTCCTTAGAGGCTCTGCTCAAGTAACATCTGCTTTTGAAAACGGAGCCTGATTCTAAAATGCAGCATGTGATTCACTCATCCAGGAGCCTGTGATCAACACTTTTCGTGAGAGTTGGAGTTTGTTTAGTGAGTCGTCTGGCAGCAGGATCTGCCTGTGCGGTGCCGGGCTCGGCACCTCCTTCCGGACGGCGCTGCCTCGTGCATAGGAGCGCCAGCCTCAGGACTGGGCTTCGTGAGCCTTCTGGTTCTGCCACTTAACTGGTTGGGGTTAAGCCACAAAGACACTGGGTTGCGTTCCTGCTTCCATCACTGGCTTGCTGTGTGGCCTTGGACAAGTTATTTAACCTCTCTGATCTCAGTATTCTCAGCGTGAGAGAGAGAAACAAACCCACCGCCAGGTGAGGATTAAACGAGAGGGTGTGCAGAGTTGAGCAGAGTGTGTCCGGCAGGCGGTCATGGTTGCCACGGCTGATGTTAATAATGACTCTGAAAAGCCTTCAGGCATTCATGGGTGCTCTCTCTTCCCTCTGCCCCTTGCAGGTAGAACTGCACGTCCACCTGGATGGAGCCATCAAGCCCGAAACCATCTTATACTATGGCAGGTAAGTCGGCGGATAAGAGAACTTCCTCCCCAGGATTTGGGCAGGGGCCCTGGTTTGAGGACTCGAGAGAATCGCACGGTTGCTGCTCCATATCCCTGTGGGATGGAGCCAGCCCCTGGCCAGAAGGGGTCTCTGTGCTGGGAATCTACAGCCCCTGTCTTATGCCTTCGGTGCCTTTGACTCTCACCTTCCTGCTTCCAGGGGAGCAGGCCCCACCGGACACACGGACACACGGGGACACACGCCCACCCGCATGCACACAGTTCCCAGGCTGAACCAGTTACTATTTTTTGGCAGAGAACTAACTGGTGGCAGGTGACACACCCACATGGGAGGAGGGTGTCACTATTCCCATCTCACTGAGGAGCCAGCTGGTTCAGAGAAGTGAAGGCAGTTGCCCAAGGTCACACAGCAAGTACATGGTACAGTCGAAAGTTGACAGGGCCAGCGGATCCCCAAAGCTCTTGCCACAGAAATAACCTACTGGGAGAGTAGGTCCCAACTCTCGGCATCTTCCAAGTGAGAACCCACCTGCTGTCTCAGCTCTCATGGATGCTGGTGGGCCGAAGGGTCCCCTGTGCACCCCCCCAAGGGCCCATGGTGGCCCCTCTGTGGGACTTTGAGCCAAGTGGATCTGTGACCTTGGCCTCTGCGGGTTGAGGGGACGAAGAGGGCCTTCCTCCAGAGCTGTCTGGGAGACAGGGGCCCTCCTGCCACCTGCCCCTCCCTCGGCAGACTGTGCTCTTCACACTCATTCTGTTGGAGCTGGAAGGACTCCATCTGGCCCTCACTGCTCCTTGCAGGACAGCTGCTGCTCTTGACATTCGCCCCCAACTCTCGGGAGCATCTCTCGTCCCCGAGTGAGCTCTGGCAAGAACACTTGCCTCCGTCTTGTCCCACGTCCAGTGAGCCTGCTCTAGGAAGCCACCGCTGATGTCACTGTTATTTAACTGGGTGTGTTCGCATTTGCTGTGTGGCCACGCACCTGGGTCAACTGACTGATTCCTCACGACAGCTGGCCACGTAGGTACTATCAATGTCCCTATGCGTGGTAGAGAGGAAACTGAGTCATGATAGCTGAATGACTTGTCTAGTAAGCACAGCTCTGACCAGGGCCCTGCCCCTGACCTATGGTCCCCCTGACCTATGGTACCCTTGCTGCTAGAGGTCTAGGCCACGTACAGCAGGGAAAACGCTTCGTCAGGGCTTAGTAAGGCACTTAATGAGGACAGTGTCACTGATCATAACCGTGGGCTCTGCTAAGTGGGGTAAAGTGCTCAGCTTATCTCTGCCCGTTCTTTGCCTATGTTGAGTGCCAGCCCTTGCCACGGGGCCTTGATGAGGCTGTTAGGGTGGGTAATCAGGGGCCAAGATGGGATCTAATCGGGGTGCTCATTAACGGGTCATAGAGCACTCAATATCGCAGCAAGGAGGTGGGAGTGCCAGGGTGGGGTGGAGGGAAAGGAGTCGCCAGGGTTGGGTGGCTGCTTGGGTTTTCCATTTCCCATGTCGCCTACGTGTCTCCGGAACAGTCTTGGCCCTGGAGAGGGGGTGCGGGTGCCAGGTGGAGTTTGATCTCTAGGTCCGCAGTCAAGGGTGCAGGGAGTCAGTCAGACTCCGATGTGGGCATCCCTGGAGGACTCCCTGGTGGGGGTGGACCAGGGCGGAGAAGAGGAGGAGGGTCTGGCCTGTGACCTACCCTCCCAGGCCAAGTCCAATGGCTCCTTTTCTGCCCCTGATCGGAGCCTCCATTGATTCTGTTTTCGCCCGTTTCTTCTCCCTTTGAGTCCGTCCGCTCCAGGGCCTTCTCCTGACTCTTCCTCAGTCTCCTTCATGACCCCATCCACTCTTTCTCCAAGGCCCGTTCTGAATCCGCTGTTCTCTCTTCCCTGTCACCACCCAGGTGTGCCACCACCAACCCCTCACGCAGACTAGTGCCGTGGCCTCCTGACTGGCCTCCCCCGTCTGCCGTCCCCACAGTACTGTGGTCAGAGCACTTGTCTTAAAACACGGTCTGATCAGCTCACGCCCCTTCCTCAGGGTCGAAGCCACAGCCTCCTCACGGGCCTCTGATGTTCTGCAAAGCCCGAGGGAGATCGCTGACCTCTTCTGCTTCTCCTTGCTCAGTCCTCGCTGGGTGTTTCTCAAACATGCCCGGCCTGGTAAACACAGAGAGGGTGGGTCACTTGCCCAAGGTCACACACCCTTTATAACAGAGCTGGGATTCCGACCCAGGCCTCTGGCTTCAGAGTCTGCTGTGTTTCCCGGGACACATAAGTAGCTCCATGTGTTCTTTGTAACTGTAGAGAAAATACTCGGACTTTTACTGGCAAGAACAGGGAGGCCCTCAGTGGGACAGCTCCTACCCAGGGTGGTGGGGCACATACAGGGAGGGCACAGGCTTGAGCTCCACAGCCTGAGCTCCTCCTCCTCACTGGGCTCTCTGGTGCGGCGCCCACTGTGGCGGGAGGCCAGGGAGATGGCGTTTGGAGAAGGCGCTCGCCTCTGGTTTGGTGGTTAATGGAGGAGCCATACTTGGGAATGTGGAGCCTGGGAGGGGGCAGGGCGGGGGGGTGGTCATGAGCTGGCTGCCTCCCAGGGGCAGTCAGATGCATGGGTCTGTCGTGGTCACTGCTGTCCACACACTGCCCGGCACACCATAGGCTCTCAGGGGCGTGTAGAGAGTTGGAACCTGGATTTCTGGACCCCAAGTTGACATCTGTGAAAGGAGATCCGAAGGGAAGGGTCGGGAGGCAGCACCCCAACAGGAAGTGGCGGGGTCCAAGGCAAACGTGGCCACGGCACCCGCCAGTACGGAAGCCAGAGCCTTAGCGCCCTCCTCTGCCTTCATCCCGGCATCTGGCAGGGACGTGGGCCAGTGGGCAGGCATGGTGGGCTGCCTGGCAGGCTGGTGGTGGCACCAGGGTGACCTCTGGTGATACCCACTGGCCACCCACAGGGGAGGAGGGCATATTTAGGAGCCTTAGCGTATTTAGGTAGGAAAACATTTTAATATTTGAATAACAGAAGCCATTAAAGGACTTAAACACTCTTCTGTGTCAAACTTGCATTTCTTGGGCGATTCCCTCCTATCATCTTGCTTTGTGGGTAACCGGAGGCTTGAACCTCCTGACTCGATCATCTACTTTTCTTTACTATTTGCACCACTTTCTAAAAAAAGTCATCTTGTCTTTAGCTCTACGTGCTGGAGAGTCTTCTCGCCTTGTTTTGCATCCTTGACACTTCCCGCGGCCCTTCCTACCCTCGAAATGGCCCCTTTTAAAAAGCGACGTTCTTGTTTCAAGCGTGTGCCACCCTTTCATCTCCTGGAGGATGTTCCTTTTAGGGTTTATGTTTTCTTCTGTTTTCTGAACCTTTCGTGTCCTCAGAGTTCCTTTGGTTTCTCGTATCCCTCGTGGTAGAAGCGTTTCTTGAGGCTCTGGGGTTCTTTGTCTCTTATCTTACTAGTGGAAAACTGCAGCCCAGGGTGACCTGGGAGAGGGGCAGAGCCAGGAAGGGCAGAGGGGCTGGGGGGTCAGAGGGTGGGAGCCAGCCCAGCCTCGCCCTGCGCCCTGGCTGCGAGGCGGAGGTGCTGCGGGCAAGGAGGCTCAGGCCTGGAGGGCCGTGCTCAGCAAGGCCTTACTGAGTGGTGGCGGTGTGGTCCACCCGTGAGGGGGCTCTCCGAGGGGCGGGGGGGACTCCGAGGGGCGGCCAGCTCGCCCGGGCCTCTCCAGCACACTGGGCCAGCAAGCCTCTCCGTCCCCGGACAGAGCAGAGGAAGGCGGCCAGTGCTGGCCCTGGCCCTGCTGTCATTGCCTCTGATAACCCCTGAGCTGGCATAGGGCCAGTTGGCTGTACCCACTCCTGGGGCTGAGGCGGAAGTTGTGGGCTTGCTGCCCTGGCACATTCCCTGTCCCCAGGCACATGTGTGTCCATGCACACAAACAGACTAACCCCGACTGCTCCCCTGGAATCGCTAGCTGGTCATGGCCTTGGGGACAGGAGGTGCTGCAAGGACTCTGGTCCTGGTTCTGTGTCCCCTGGACCTGTTTTCCGGTCTGTCCAATGTGTGGAGTTGGATGGAGAGAACCTCAGGTTTCCTGCTGTGGCCCCCTGGGGAGTCGGCCAGGTCCTCCCCAGGGGTAGTCCGTCACCCTCATGTTTTATCCCTAGGAAAAGGGGTGTCACCCTCCCTGCTGACACAGTCGAGGGGCTGCAGAACATCATTGGCATGGACAAGCCGCTCACACTCCCAGAATTCCTGGTCAAGTTCAACTACTACATGCCTGCCATCGCGTGAGTCCCATCCTCGGGCCCCGGGCTGCGCCCATGCCTGTGCCTGGAGGAGCCGCAGCCTGGGGGTGGAGGCCCCAGCTCTGCCCTCATCACTGTGTGGACTTGCTGGACTCCTCCATGCCTCTGGGCCTTGGCTTTCCCTCTGCACGTGGGTGTGATGGACTGGAATCCAACTTCCACAGAGAAGTGCCAGGATGTGGGGTTAGGAACAGAGCCTAGTCTGACTCTTCCGTGAAATAATGTGGGCACATCTCTGGGCCTGTCCTCTCATTTAGACAGGGAGCCTTGTGACCCCGCCTAGCTCCTAGGGCTGGAGTTGGGACTGGACACAATACTGTCCTCAGCAAGTCCCTCTCACTGTGGAGACAGTTGCCACCTTTCCTGACAGCCAGCCACTGGTGCTCGCTGCACCCCTTGCACGTTTTCATAGCGGACTATCTCGGACGTAGGCATGTACACGCACAGCTCACAGAACTCTGCTTGCTTTGGTCGTCTGCCGGGGAGGCTACTCCTCTCCAGAGGAGGGCATGAAGGCTCAGGGAGTGCAGGGCGTGCCCAGGACTCCACGGCTGGCAGGGATAAAGCCCAGATTCTCACTCTTGCCCGCCTTGAGCTTCCTGGCAAGAGGCAGAGCTTCCCAAGCAGGCGAGAATCAGCCTTGGTGGTTGGTGCTGCTGGAGCTCAGGAGGGAGAGAGGCAAAGGGGCTGGGGCAGCCAGGGAGGGCTGCCTGGAGGAGGAAGTATGGGCCTGGCCTTGGGATGCAGAGGCCGTGATATTCTCGAGGAATAGGCCCGAGGAAAGGCTTGGAGGATCAGCAGAGATGATGGGTGAGGTGGACGGAGGCATTGGCTGGGTGAGTGGCAAACAGATAAGAGTTCTAGGGAAGGAAGATGTGTAGCAATGTGGCTGAGCTGTTTGTTTTTTTAACCCTCACTGGAGGATATTTTTCCATTGAGTGCGGTGGGGGGGGAAGGTGTCATCAATGTGAGAGAGACATCGATTGTTTTCCTCCCACAAGACCCCAACTGAGGCCAGGGATCGAACCTGCAACTCAGGTACATGCCCTAGACTGGGAATCAAACCCACAACTCTCGGGTCCGAGGGCCGACACGCTAACCACTGAGCAAAACCGGCCAGGGCTGAGTTCTTGCTGGAAGCTTCTGGGCTCAGCCTGGAGGGCACTAACCGTCCCAGTCCTTGCCTCTGGGAAGCAGACACGTGTGGTCTCCCTGGAGGCACCTGCCGCATTTCCCAGGACACCATCACGCGAGAACGTATGGGCAGGCCAGGCACCTCTCCCATGGCGCGTGACAGAGGCCCAGCCCCTGAAGGCCAACCCACCCAGGCTGTTAGACATCACCTCCTGCAGAGATACCTGGCTGTTTGGGGCCAAAGCCCATGAGACTGACTGTCCGCCCTCTTGCCAGCATGCACAGGTGTCAGATGAAAGCCCTCGTGGCCTGCCACTCACCCCTGGTTCACCCCTCTCCAGCCACATTGGCCTCCTGCAGCACCTCGGGTCCTCTGTGGCCGCCGTTCCCGCTGCCTGGAATGCTGTTCCCTTAGATGCCCTATGGCTCACTTCCTCGCCTCCTTTGTGTCTCTGCTCAGATGTCACTTTCTCAGCGAGGCCTTCCCTGATCATACTGCTGAACATGGCCGTCCCCTCCTCTTCACCATTCCATACACTCCTCCCCTGCTTTACGTGTACTCGTAAAACTTGTCTCCCTCTGATCTAGAATATATTTTTATTTTAATTCTCACCCGAGGATATTTTTCTCTTTATCATCAGACAGAGTGGGAGGGAGAGAGGAGAGAGGGAGAAACATCGACATGAGAGGGACACATCGAGCGGCTGCCTCCCACACGACCCGACCAGGGCCGGGAACAAACCGCAACTAAGGTACGTGCCCTTGACCGGAATCGAACCTGCGACGCATTGGTCTGCAGGCCGACACTCTAACTGCTGAGCCAAACTGGCCAGGGCTAGAATATATTATATATTTTACTTATTTACTTTCCTGTCTCTCTTGCTAGGCTGTAGGCTCTGTGAGGGCAGGGATTTTTGTCCACTTTGTTTGCTATATCCGTGCCCGGGACAGTGTCAGTCAGCGTGGAATGAGTCCCACAGCCGTGGGGGAAAGAAGGACATCTCTCCCTGCGAGGCCGGTGACCTCCCAGGGTGGACCCCACCCCGTGGATCTCCCACAGGAGTGCCCATCCTCATCCAGGTTCTGAAAGGCACAGGTCCCTCCATGACCTTCCTCCTGGGAGTGGCCCATTTCCCCGGACACCTCTCTCACATATTCTGCTTTCTAGTAACCGTTCCTTTTTCACGCTTCCTGGTGGAAACTTCCAGCTAAAGCAGGTCCACTGTCATCCGATCAACACTCAGTAGCCCCTGCTGGTTAATTTGTGCCTTGCTTCTGGTAACAGCTAAAACACTTGGAGCATGTGTCTGTTCTGCTCCAAGTGAGCTTTTTGAGGTTGAACTCATTTGTTCTCATAATAACCCTTTGATGGAGGTCTCAGAGAAGGTGACTAACTGGGGTCACCCAGGAGATAAGCGTGGGCACCAGGATTCAGGTCTGAGTCCCAGGTATCTGCCCCATGCCAGAGTTCCCTCTGGGTTTGTCCATCTGTGCCCTTGTCTCTCTCTCTCTTTTAGTTTTATTGGAGTATAATTTACAAATAGAAATTTGTAAGGTATTTAAGGTATACAACTCGATGTTTTGAGATATATATATATACACACACACACACACACACACAAACCACACACACTGTGACATAATTACTAAAGCTAGTTAACATATCCATCACCTCATATAGTTGCCTTTTTTTGTGTGTGGTAAGAACACTTAAGATCTACCCTCTTAGCAAATTCCAAGTGTCCAGTACAGTATTACATAGTCACATTGTGTTGTACAATAGATCTCCAGAATGTACTCATCTTACGTAACTGAAACTTTGTACCCTTTGACCGACATCTCCCCACCGCCCTCCTGTCCCGGCCAACTACCATTCTACTTTCTGCTTTTATGAGTTCTTCTATTTTAGATTCCACATATACGTGAGATCATGCAGTATTTGTCCTTCTGTGTCTGGCTAATTTCGGTTAACACAATGTCCTCCAGATTCGTTCATGTTGCAAATGGCAGGATTTCCTTCTTTAAGGCTGGATAATATTCCTCTGTGTGTGAGACATTTTATCCATTCATTTGTAGATGGATATTTGGGTTGTTTCCAAGTCTTGGCTATTATCAATAATGAATGAACATGGGGATGCATATATCTCTTTGAGAAACTGGCTTCATTTCCTTTGGATATATACACAGAAGTAGGATTGCTGGATTATCTGGTAGTTCTATTTTTAATTTTTTGAGGAAATTTCATGTTTTCTGTTAATGGCTACACCGATTTCCATTCCCAATGACAATGCACAAGGGTTCTGTTTTCTTGCCAACACCTGTTATGTCTTGGCGTCTCTTTTTGATGGCAGCCATCCTAACAGGTGTGAGGTGATATCACTGCACTTTTGATTTGTATTCCCCTGACGATCAGTGATGTTGGACACCTTTTCACATACCTGGTTGGCCGTTTGTATGCCGTCTTTTGAGAAATGTCTTTTCGGGTCCTTTGCCTGTTTTTAAATTGGGTTGTCTGGTTATTTTGCAGTTGAGTTATAGGGTTCCTTTGTATCTTGGATCTTAGCCCCTTAGCAGGTGTGTGGTGGCCGTCTGTTCGCCCATTCCGTAGGTTCTTTCCCCTGTTGGCGGTTTCCTTTGCTGTGCAGAAGACTTTTCAGTCTGAGGCAATTCCACTGTCTATTTTTGCCCATGTGGCCTCTGTCCTTTTCTCTTCTCTTCCTTGCTGGACTACATCTATCACTCAACAAACACATGTCCTAGGTTCTGCCCTCGGCTGAGGAATCATAGCAGTGATGCGACAGATGGAGGAGTCCTTGTCCCATGGCAACTACATTCCAGTAGGGGAGATGAGAATTGGCTATTAGACCATGTGACATGTAATGCTGGGTGGCAACAAGGGCCGTGGGGAAAACCAGTCCAGGGGAAGGGGTGGAGAATGGCAGTTTAAGAGAAAGTGGCCCAGGACGGCCTCGCTGGGGTCTAAATGGAGATGGGGAGGGCGCACAGGACCATCTGGGGGAAAGCATGTAGGCTGGGGAACTGCAAACAAAGGCTCAGACGTGGAACAAACCCGACTGTCCCGTAGACAGAGCGAGCCTCTGCTGGGCTCCTGGAACGTGTGAGGGAAGGTGCTGGGGAGGTTGGCAGCAAGCGGATCATACAGGCTGGGACTTCATTCTACGCGACAGAAGCCATCAGGGCTCAGAGCAGGGAACAGTAGGCTTCGCTGTGTGAAAGATCGCTCTGGCTGCTGCGAGGACAGTTCCAGGGAAGCATGGAGCAGGGAGGCCATTAGAGACGAGGTGGTGAGGCCAGGGTGAAGGGGAGCCGACAGGACTGCTGGGCTTCTAGGATCTTTTCTAGCAGATGCCCAGAGCTTGGCACTGGAGGGTAAGGGCCTGGGGACCGGAAGTGGGTTTGATCTGCCAAGGGGTAAGGACAGTCTTGTTCCTGGAGCTCTGAAGGGACACTGGAGAAGGCTGTCCCAAGTGCTCTCTTCCCTTCCCAGGGGCTGCCGGGAGGCCATCAAAAGGATTGCCTATGAGTTCGTTGAGATGAAGGCCAAGGAGGGCGTGGTGTACGTGGAGGTGCGTTACAGCCCACACCTGCTGGCCAACTCTAAAGTGAAGCCCATCCCCTGGAACCAGACCGAGTGAGTGGCCGCGTCAAGGCTGTGGCAAGGTGGCCCACCCTGGCCCCGAGGGCCAGACTGTTGGGAGGCCCTGACCCAGGCAAGGCTTTGATCTTGCCCCCCCCCATCTGGTCTGTGGGCTCAGAAACAGGGGTGTAACTGTCATGAGACCTGGTTCCCATCCCTCCCTGGGCCTGTGATTTTATGTTGGGAGAAAGCGTTCGGCTGTGTCTCATCACCCCTAGTCCTAGACACGGGCCTGCAGTGGAGAGAAACTGCCTATCCAGTGACTTCCAGGGGTCCTGCTCTGACCCTGTAACTGGAGTGAGTCTGGCCCATTCTGCTCCCCACTGCCTGGACCCCCAGGGACCTCTACGTGGTATCACCCAACCACTTTGCCCCCTTCTAGCCATGACTCTGACACGTGAACAGGTGGGAAGCAGACCAGGTGAGCTTAGCAGTGCTCTCTGCCTGGGGGCGGGGCTATGTCTGGAGCCCCGCCCCCCATCTGGAAGTGCCCAGGCAGTTCCAAGGAAGCCGGAAGTGGGTGTGCTAGTTGGGCCGTCTCCCCAGTCTTCCCTCAGAGGCAGTGGGTTGGTGGGGAGAGGGGGCTTCTGGAAGATTCCTCTTCCTCTCCTCCCTCCCTCAACTCCCTCCTCTCCTTCCTCTGTCCCAGTCCCGGGGCTGTCCTTCAGACCTTCCTTTGTCCCAGGTCCATGCCCACCCCTCTCTCCACACAGAGGGGACCTCACCCCAGATGAGGTGGTGCACCTGGTGAGCCAGGGCCTGCAGGAGGGAGAGCGAGACTTCGGGGTGAAGGTGCGGTCCATCCTGTGCTGCATGCGCCACGAGCCCAGTGAGTATGGCCTGGCCCCGCCTGGTATCTCATGTCCCCTGTGCTCCCTGCCATCCCCTGAGCCTATCAGCTGGATCTCAGGGATTCCAGAAGTCATCAGAGTCCTCCCGGGCAGGCTCAGCACTTCCTGGCAACAGACTTTTCTCCCAAGGGACACCAGGCCTTATAGCCACCCGACCTGCAGGAGATTCAAAACCAAAGGATCCTGAACCATAGGAAACAGTCTAAGCCAGGCTCTGATCAGCCCCCAGTTCTCCCTTGAGACCCTTCGGGCCAGGCCTCCTATGGTGCAGCCGTACAACCTGAGGTCTGATCTCTGGGGCCTGAGGGGTTTCCCTTATAACTAACACTCAGCTCTCCAGGGCTGGAACTTCCAGGGTGCCGAGCCTCACCGTGTGATCTTCGGCAATCACACTTCTAGGAGGCGGTGGTGCTTACCTCATCCTCCACTGGAAGGAGCAGCGAGGATGACAGCAAAGGTCAATGCCAACCTGTCGGCCCATCACACGGAGTGACTTACCTGGATTTTCTCCAATCCTTGTGGCAGCCTGTGGGAGCTGCCACTGTGTACCCTATTTGGGATAAGGAAACTAAGGCAGAGAGGGGCGGTCTCTTGCTCCTCAGTCAGGAAGGCGAAAAGCTCAGATCTGGACCCGGGGCCATCTGCTTCCAAAGCCTGTGACCTTTTCATTCTTTTTAAAAAAACTTTTTTGTATTGATTTGAGAGGGGAAGAGAGAGGGAGAGAAACATCGATGTGAGAAACCTCGACTGGCTGTCTCTCATACATACCCCAACTGGAGGTCAAACCCGCCACCTGGGCATGTGCCCTGATCAGGAATCGAACTAGTGACCTTTCAGTGCGTAGGACGACACTCAACCAACTGAGCCACACCGGCCAGGGTCCTTCCCCCCCTCCCCCTTTATTGATTTTAGAGAAAGAATTGGAGAGGGAGAGAGAGAAACATGGATGAGATCCTGCAGGCCCCTCACTGAGGGCCAGGCCCACAACCCGGGCATGTGCTCCGACCGGGAATCGAACCAGCAACCTCCTGGTGCATGGGTCGATGCTCAACCACTGAGCCACACCGGCCAGGCCAGGGTTCCTTTTTAAACGTTTAATGACTTTATTGGTTGAGTCTACAGCATGTTAGCAGTATGTTAAGTCATGCCAGGTGAGCCATGTTTAGGTTTAAATGTTGAACTGTGTGGGCCTCCCTCCTCGTCAAAGTGGGATGAGCCCACCTCGAGAGCTGCTGTGCGGATGAGAAGGGACAGTCGTGCACTGAGCCCGGCCCTGCCCTCAGTGTCACACACAGGATCTTGGCAGAGCCTGGCCGTGACCCTGTGCAGTAGCCGGTGCCGCCCTCTGAGAGGAGAGGAAACTGAGGCACTGGGTGGAGCAGTTTGCCGAAGGCTGTGTGGTTAGGCTGTGGCAGTCAGGATTTGACGACAGGACACTGGGCCCCCTGTCTTACGCTGGCCTCGGGTAGGGGGGAGGTCAGCAAGCAAGCATTCTGGAAGGACCTCCCACTGCTACTGCTGACAGGCCTGGTGGGCACCTTGCCCACAGCCTGGTCCCCTGAGGTGGTGGAACTGTGTAAGAAATACCAAACGCAGACCGTGGTGGCCATTGATCTGGCTGGAGATGAGACCATCGCAGGAAGCAGCCTCTTCCCTGGACACCTGCAGGCCTATGAGGTGGGTCCCGCGGGAAGCAGGCGGGGAGAACCTGGCACTGGAGGGCCTTGGGAGAAGTCTCGAGACTGAGGGAGAGGCCTCCTGGTTTGGCCTGGTGGCTCTAGAAATTGTGAATTTGGTATAAAGGAAGTCCCCCACCTGTTACTGGGAGTCTGTGTGTGAGCTGTTTCTGCCTGTGATTTGCCATGACCTTGGGCAAGACCGTCTCTCCTCTGGGCCTTCTGTGCAAGGTGTGAAGCATGGGGTTGAGTGGGGGCTCCGGAGAACCACTGCCCAGGTACAGAGCTTGGCTTCCCACTTCCGAGCTGTTTGACCTTGGTCATCTTCCTTAAGTCTCCTGAGCCTGCTGGGGTGTCTCCAGGACCACCCATGACCCGGCTCTTGTCCTTCCAGGAGGCTGTGAAGAGTGGCATTCACCGCACCGTCCATGCCGGGGAGGCTGGCTCCGCAGAGGTGGTCAAAGAGGTGAGACCAGTGGGCTGTGCGACCCTCCCCCCTAGCTCCACTGCACCCCTCACTGGGTCCTGTCCGCTTCTCCGCAGGCTGTGGACAGGCTCAAGGCAGAGCGAGTGGGACATGGCTACCACACCCTGGACGATGAGGCCCTTTACAAGAGGCTGCGGGAGGAGAACATGCACTTCGAGGTGCCCGGGAGGGAGGACAGAGGTGGAAAGCCGGGGGGGGGGGGAGCCACTCAGGTTGCCAGGTGGCGGAGGGAGACTGGGACGATGGCTCGTGGGAGTCGGCAACAGGGAGGCCAGTGTGACCATGGCCAGGATAGGGGGCTCCAGCCCCAGAGCTTTGGGGGGTCCGCACGGTCTGGAAATGTCTGCAGCCACACACTTGCTCTTCCAGGTCTGCCCCTGGTCCAGCTACCTCACGGGCTCCTGGAAGCCGGACACGGTGCACCCGGTGGTTCGGTGAGGCTCACTCCCCTGGGGCCCATTTAGTCTTGTTCCGGGAGAGCCCGGGGTGGGAGAAAATGCAGGGACTGGGTCTCTTGATATAAAACCTGTCCCAATTCTTGGGAAACAGGCATTACAAATGACTCCAAAGCTCGGATGTGCTTTCACCTGACTAAGGAGCCGAGCCGAGCCCCTGCAGCTTATTGAGCTGTAGCAGAATGTCCTGCTGCCCCAGGAGAAACTTGGACACTCTAGATTCTGCCTCCTAGGGGCCAGGAAGACGAGTCCCTCCTGCTCACAAGGTCTCTGCTCCTGGCAGCTCTGGGCATTGCCCCATGAACCATCTCGAAGCTTTCCCCTGGAGGGTCTGTCCCTCCTGCCCGCTCCCACCTGATGCAGAGGCCTCGCCCGTCTGGGGGCTGTCCTGTGACGAGCTCTGGGCGTGGCCGCAGGAGGGCAAAGCCGCCTTTCCCTGATACAGGAGGAGGACAGCAAGAACTTGGGGTGCTCATTAAAGCCAGCACTGGTCTGTCTGCCAAACTTATGTGCAGGAGAGGAGCTCCTGAGGGCCCCTTTAGGACAGGGGAGTGTGCGTGCAGCACCTGTGGCTTGTCCAGGTGAGGTTCGAGGCACATGGCACCCAGCCTGTGGGCTGGAGAGAAACTCAGGAGTCATCCACCCAGACACGGTGGTTGAAGGGAGAAGTAATGGCCTCAGGAGAGAACCCAGAAGGAAGGGACATGCATGGGCAGGTAGGCAGAAAGCCAGCGTGGTGTCTGAGACAAGGAGGGCGGGGCCTGTGAACGGTCAGCGGTGTAAAACTGTACCCAGGTCCAGTGCAGTGAGCGAGAAAAGGCCCAGTGGACCTACCTGGACGGGAGGGGCAGTGCCACGAGCCGTTCCTGTGGTGCTGGAGGACAGAGCCCAGTGGGACCGAGGCTGGGGACGGACGTGGGCTGTGGAGGAGGCTGGAGAGGCCGGTACCTGGGGGAGGGCCCTGCTTGTGGGCCTCTCGGCCTTTGCCCGATCAGATAGTTCGAGTCTTCAGCTCCCAGTTATGTGGCTTTGGGCAAGCCCCCCATGTTCTTAGCTCTCCTCGTGTGGAGGAAGAAAGACTTCCAGGTGTGCTTAAGGACGCTGCGAGGCTCAAGGAAGGTGGAGGTCGATACGCAGTGACTGTTCACAAGAGTTAAAGGGAGGCTCTTTCCCCACATCCAGATTCAGAAACGACCAGGCCAACTACTCGATAAACTCAGATGACCCGCTCATCTTCAAGTCCACCCTGGACACGGATTACCAGATGATTAAACAGAAGATGGGCTTTACTGAAGAGGAGTTTAAGAGACTGGTGAGTAGGTGTGGGCCCTGGGCGTGTGCGCGGCCTGGGGACGAGGAGTGAGTTGGCCTCCCTAGGCCAGGCCAGACCTGGCATCACACGCCTCCCAGAGTGACATACTGACCGAGGACCAGGTGTTCTGTCTTTTGCTTGCCCTCAAAGACTCTGATGAAAGCCATCCACCCTCTCCCAAAAAGTGTGGTCAGCTATAAATTTTGCACTTTCAGGCTGTTCATGGATCCCAGGTTGAGCACGTGTTTTAGGTGTTACAACTCCCCAAGCCTGTCTCCGCAGGACTCTGGCCCCTACATCCTACTCTGCCCCTCAGTTTCTCCAGTTTGTTCTCACATTGCTGTATCACGGAGCGCCACTTTCAGAACACAGAACCTCCCGTCTGTCTGGCAGTTGCTGTGTGACCTTGGACAAGTCCCTTCCCCTCTGAGCTTAATCAGCTGCCAATATTCAAAGAAGAGAGTAGACTAGCACTAGATCGCCAAGAGCTCCCTTCCATACTATCTGGTTCCATGTTGTCTGCCATTCTGGCCCTTCCAGAACATCAATGCAGCCAAGTCCAGTTTCCTCCCAGAAGATGAGAAGAGGGAGCTGGTGGAACTGCTCCGTAAAGCCTATGGGATGCCACCTTTGGCCTCTGCAGGTATGTTCCTGTCAGCTTCTGGGCCACTGAGCTGCCCTGGCTCTAGCCTAGCATTCCGTGGGACCCCCAGTAAAACGTCTTCCCTCTTGGGTAGCACCAAGGACATGTGATTACTCCCTGGCTGGTGGCAGCCTTTGCCTCGGGCTATTTTCTGTATGACGCTGTCTTGAGGCTGGTCTGAGGAGGAGACTTTCTGAAGGTCTGGGCCTCTTGGGGCACCTGAATGGCTGCCCAGACCTTAGCTGTGTTCTCCTTCCTGCATGGCCTTGGCAAAGCGCCCCTTGCTCTAAGCCTCAGTCTTCCCAGGGGCCTCTTCTCTGGCTCTAATCTTTCTGCTTCTCTGACCTGGCCAGCAGGGCAGCCAAGGTGATGGCATCGCAGCCGCCTCTGAGCCCTCGCCTTGTGGAGACTTCACAGCTCAGGGCTTGAAAGACACTGACCTTCACTCCTGCGAAGACATGACTTCCAGTCAGCTACTGCTGTCCCTGAAGCCCTCCTCCTGCGGTGATCTATGCTGGGAAGCTGGTGCTCAATAAAGAAACCAATGGCTGGTGACATGCAGCATGTGATGTGTGGTCTTGGGCAGGGTAAGAGGAAGAGGCTTCTGGGGCTCCTAGACTTGGGCAGCTTGCCCAGTGGGCGCTGTGACCGGGAAGCCAAGTCTCCCCATGCTGGGGTGAGGGGGTCCACGGCTGTCCTTCCTCCAGAAGAAACCGGGTTTCTCTTGAACTGTCTGCGGACATGCTCCCTGAACTCTCAGCCCCTCCTCTGCTGGGTTTTAAGGGGAAAACTTCCTTTTGGTTTCCTGAAGCTGTGGACTGAGGTGAGAGGGTGAGATGGGAGAACACTCCTCGGACCAAGGAGTGGGACTGGCCCCCGCACCTTCCGAGGTACTTGGTTCTGGGGAAGCCTGGGCAGCAACGGATCCCAGCGAACTGGACGACGGGGCCCAGTCCCTGCTTTTGCTGTTTAAAGGAGAAATAATCATCTTAAACCAGTCACACAAATCACCAGCATTTATTTCCTGGGTCCCAGACGTTACTTGGTAGAAAGAAAGGGCAGAGTTGATCAGGTGGTTCTGAGCACGAAAATCCCTTCCCTAAAACGATCTGTGACGCTCCACAGGGAACCTCAGAGCTGCACAGATGCTCTGAGTTTAGATCAAAATAGCTTCCAAAACAAAAGTGGATTGATTGTCAGCTCCTTCCCTCTCTGCTAAAAAAGGTTTAAAACTTTTTAAAAGTTTAAAAGTGTTTCTTAAAAAAGGGATCAGAAGGTCTTGACTTAAATGGTTGGTTTTGGAGAAGACGGGGCAAAGCCGGGATGTGGTCCCTGCCCTGGGCGCCCAGGAGCCCTCTTAGGCGAGCTGCTCACCCAGGCGGGCAGGGCCCAGCCCCCGAGGCCCAGTGTCCAATGAATAAATAACATCCTGTGGTTAGTGTCTTAAAAGTGTACCTGGGCACGGTGAGGTGGTGGCAGCGTGGAGCCTGTGGGTGTGGGCAGAGGGCCTTCCAGGGTAAGGGCCACTGCAGCCTCTGGGGGTGCCTTTCAGTCTGGCCTTGCTTGCCTGGCACACGGGGCTCAGAGAAGAGGCTGTTGGGCCAGCGCCAGGGTCCCGGTCCGGGCGGGGACAGCAGGTCTCTTCCAGCCTCCTCGGCAAGGTCAGCCTCACGACGAGACGGCCCCACTGCTGCTCTCGGGCTGGTTGCCAGCCTCCTTGTCTGTAGTGCCTGCCTCTGCCTGTCCTTCTGGGGAGAAGAGGAAGAACAACATGTACATGAACACGAAGCACAGAAGGGTTTTAGAAGGGCCCAGCCAAAGTGGTAACTGGACGAGCCCTGGGGCATAGGGCAGGAACTGGATTAGAGGTGGTGGTAACCAAAGGGAACATGAACTGGGTCTCTAACATTTCAATGCTTACAAAGAAAAGGCATGCAGTATTACTAGTATAATTAAAGGCCAGGATCCTAGATGGATGCTAAAAGCAATAGGTGAAGGGCTACTGAGAGTCAAGATACTAGTGCAGATTCTCAAGAAGCAGAGGGCAGATGGGAGGGCCCAGCATGTAACAGGTGCTCAAGGAATGGTAGTTCTTAGAAGACAGAGAAGGGCATCAGCCGAGGCCAGCTCGGGGGAGCAGCAGCGTGTGGCCTGCGACTGTCTCATTGTGCTGTGTCCTCACCAGGCCTCCCTCTCTAGCCTGTCTTTGCATTCTTGTGCTAAGCTTTTCACATGACTAAAAACCACTACCCTGTCCCAAGCGCTATGCAATCCATGCAGCAGCCTGGAGGATTAGGGGCGTGATATGGTGAGAAAACAGAGGCTCAGAGAGGAACTGATCTGCCTGAGATCAAGTGATAGAGGAAGCCAGTGTCCTTTCCAGAAAATTCAACTCCTACCAAGCAGCATTCTCGGGGGTTGGTAAAGGCCTGGCATCACCGACACTGTCTCATTTTGCCCTTGCAGAACTGGGAAGCGGGTGTTAATAGCAAGTGGTGCAGGCGGAAGCTGGACGTCAGGCTACCTCCTCTCCTCGGTGGTGCCCGTAGCAAAGGCTTGTTCCCAGAGGGTCCGTCGGGCCCTCCAGAGCCTGACAAACTAGATGGCACTTTAGGCAAATTTCCCAGCTGGTGCTGTCCTACTTGGCTCCGAGCCTCTGCTTCCTGATCCATAAAGTGAGGATGGTGACACCTCTGCCTGTTCACGAGGGAGGTGTGGCCACTTGACACATGGGACTGTCTCAGCCAATGGTTAACACTTCCTCTGTGCCAGTCCCAGCTCTCCGGATCTGAGAAGGTCCTTGAGCACTTCCCTTGCCAACCAGCGCTCTTTGGGGGCCAGTTTTAGAACATCATTTGAAAATGTGGCACTGGCTCAGTGGTTGAGTGTTGACCCATGCACCATGAGGTCGCTGGTTAGATTCCCGGCCAGGGCACATGCCCAGGTTGTGGGCCTGATCCCCAGTGAGGGGCATGCAGGAGGTGGCCAATGTTCTCTCTCATCGATATTTCTCCCTCTCCCTTCTTCTCTCTCTGAAATCATAAAGAAAATGTGTCACGGCCACACAATGCCGGGCAGCGTATTCATTTCTTCAGGCCTTGTCTGTTTATCTCATTATAGGGCCAAGTAAGGAAAGGTCTGTGCTCCCCACATAAGGAAATACAGGCAAGACCGGTTTGCGTACGCCACCAGTCTCCTGGGAAGCTCAGAGCAAAACTTCTCAGGCAGGCCGGCAGGATCGGACTCTTGGATCCCTACCCGCTCGGTGATTCTGCGGACCGAGCACGGCTGCAGCCCTGCCTGAGGAAGCCGCTCGGTGCAGGGCCTACGGGAGGGGGCTCCTCAGCCAGTCTAGCCTGCACTCCGCCACGAGGGCCTCACTTCTTGCAGTGAGCACTGTTCCTTCCTCAGGTCCCCCTTTTAATGCCTGTCACCCTGGAAGGAAAATGTCACACACCTGCTGGACCCAGACACTTCAGAGATTTCAAATTGGAGGGGAAACAGGTATTAGAAGGGACTGGGTCCATGGCTGAGTGGCTGCTGCGGCAGAGGGAGACTGAAACAGTTCCCAGAGCTGAGCACGCAGGAGCCCTGAGTACAAGCGCCCGGCAGCAGTCCAGGGGGCAGTGGGTCATCCACTTGGACAGTGAACAGCCACTGACTACCCACCTCCATCATGTTCCAAATGCTGCACGAGACAGATCCCGTGCGGGAGAAACGCAGGCCAGAGCAGGGCGCTGTGCTAAGTGCCACGCAGAAGCAGGGAGAAGGTGCCCCGCACCCACCGAGGAGGGAGGGGGATGTGGCCAGGGAAGGCCTCTCAGTCTGGGTTTATGAGAATGAGAAAGCAGGCAAGGGAGGGCAGGAAGAACCGGACAGAGGGAGCAGTGTGTGCAGCCACAAGGGTCTTTTAAGAAATAAGTACCTTCCTCTGGCTGGATCAGAGACACCGAGGGAGAAAGATGAGCTGAGGATGGCGAGGTGAGCAGGGTGAGACCCATGGAGGTTCATGGGCCTGGGTAGGGAGTCTGGGCCACATGATAAGGGAGGGATGACAGAACAGAAAAGGGGTGTGGGTTGTGGTTCCTTGGGCGGGGGCAGCCAGGTTCTCATTCTAACCATGTTAATTTGCTGGTGACCGTGAACACGCTACCCAACTGCTCTGGGCCTATTTATGCAGATAAAACACACGCAGGGCTGGGTCCGTGCCTCCACAGTCGTCTCTGTCCTGTACTCGGAGGAAGGAGGAGGGGAACAGGCCCCACATAGAGGACAGCAAATGCTGTGTCCTCTGTTCACTCATTCCGCCTGTGGTTTCCAAACACCTGCTACTGCCAGCAGAACAGCGGGCCCTGCTCTCCCGGAGCTCATGTGACCAGGAGGACCAATGACAGCTGTCAGGAAAGCCCCTTGAGCACCGGGTACCCGCTGGGTCAGGAGGCGGCAGCCACAGGGCTGGGTGGCGGCTGCTCTCGCAGAGGAAACGGGAGACAAACACAAGCTGAAGGGTCCTGACCTGCCCCCTCCAGGGCCAGCTCGCCCATGTCTCCAGCCAGCTTCCTCACGCTCACGGCCTCGGAGTCGCCCTGGATGTCAGGGACTGCGTTCCGGCGGCCTGTCCGGTCACAGGAGATGAAGTCCGAGTAGGAGGACTCGACCTCCATCACGCCTGTCGCATTGTTCTTCAGACCTGTGGGGACAAGGCAGCAGCGAGTCCAGGTGCATCCTGCAGGGAAGACACAGCTCTGTCCCCAGCACTGAGGTCTTTTAAAACAAATTTGTTTTCTTTATTAATCTTAGAGAGAGAGGAAAGAAGAGGGAGAGAGAGAGAGAAACATTAATTGGCCGCCTCCTGCATGCCCCCCCCCCTGGGGATCAGGCCCACAACCTGGGCATGTGCCCTGACCGGGAATCAAACTGGTGACCACTTGGTGCAGGGGTCGACGCTCAACCACTTTGCCACACCGGCCGGGCAGCACTGTCTTTTGACAAAATGTAATTTGGAGGACGAATCAACAGGATGTGGTATTTGAATGTTGGGGAAGTGAGCTCTCAGATATGAATAGGTAGGTGGACAGAAGTGTGGTTTCCTGAGATGGGGAGTAGCAGAGGAGAAATCATTTGGGGAGTGATGGTGGGTGAAGACTAAGAGTTCTATTTGACCACGTTACCTTGATGCTTGTGAGTCCTCCAAGGGGAGTAGGTACAAGAGACAGGGGCTGGCCCTTAGAAAAGAGATGGGGTATGATAGGGGGAGGAAAGATAAGAAATTAGAAGTTAATGCTACAGAGATGGTGGTTAACAACCCTGGTGGTTGATCATATAGCCTAAAGAACCATATACATCTTAAAAATTACTTGGGCCCTGGTGGTTGTTCCTCAGTGGTTACAGCACTGGCCCGTGTACCAAAGGGTTGTGGGTTTGACTGCTGGTCAAGGGCACGTATCTGGGTCGCAGGTTCAATTCCTGGCCTTGGAGCGCATGCAGGAGGCGACCAATCGATATGTCTCTCTCGCCAATGTCTCTCTCTCCCCCACTCCCCCTGCCCCTTCCACTCTCTAAAAATCAATGGGGAAAAATATCCTCGGGTGAGATTAACCAAAAAAAATTTTTTTTAAATTATTTGGGGATCATATTATACATTGTATTTTATAGCCTACTTTTGGCAACACTCTAGAATGTGTCATTAAGATTCACTATAGATGATTTGATCTGTCCCTCAGAAATGAACACAGAGGTACTTTCCAATTTTACACCACTACAGACACCACAGGGTCTTTATGTAAACCCTTATATAGAGTATGTTCTCAGCAGTAGAACTGCTGGGCTAAACAGAAGGATGAAATAATTTTAAAACATACTGTTCTGACACATTTCCAAGTTGCCTTCCTAAAGGGCACAGCAGTCCAGTTAAGGGCGCTGATGCCCGTGGGCCAATAACCTGCGTATAACTGAAGCTGGCCCTCCGCATACTCAATTCCCAACTGCCAGCCGACCCTGAACAATTCAGGTTTGAAATGCGTGAATCGGCTGAAAAAACTCCGCACGTAAGTGGACCCAGGCAGTTCAAACCCACATTGTTCACGAGTCAACTGCTAATGACAAAAGAAAAAAATGAGAGAAAAACTTTATAAATTCATTACTGTATAAGATTGTCCATTAATCTGTACCCTTGCCAACATCTGCAGTTATAGGAAAAACAATCTGCTCAGGAGGCTACGAGTATCTCAGTGAACACCTATGATTTTTCTAAAGGCAATCAAATCATGGCCACCGCCTGGACTCTGGCTATTTGGCAGAGCCTACTTTGGGAAGTGGGAGGGGAGTCCTCCTAGGGGAGGTGGGCCCAGCAAACCCGTTCTAGACACCCGTGGGCAAAATGCCAGTGTCCTCTGTGGTGTGAGGATGTTTACTGCACGTGGTCAGAACAGCGAGCCACAGGGAGCCACCTGAATGTCTGGCAGGAGGCGAGGCATTACATGAATTATCAAATGTGCCACATGGACCTGTACTGACATAGCAAGGGTCCTGAGAGAAACTGTTAACTGCAAAATGTAGGTAGCAAAACAACAACTAAAAACCCAGTTTCTGTGAGGAAAGAGCAAAACCAAAAACACCTGTCAAGTGTGATTCTTTGGGACTAAGGGGAACTTTCACTTCCAAGACTCTATTTTTGTAAAGATATAAGTTATTATATGCTCAGTTATTGTGTAATACTTTCAGAAGTTAAGTGATGTTGGCAGTATGTGCCCCAAAGTGCCCAGGATGGGGCTCGGTAAGTGCTCTGGGGATGTGTGTGTGAGAGAGGATGGGCTGGCCAGTATGGAGGGCTGGAATCACATCTCACAATGCCTAGCTCAGAAGAGATATCTGAAGAATAAGTTATGGCCACTCAAAGATCAGGCATGGGAAACAGGGAGGTGTCCAGTAATAGGGAAAAGAGTGTGACCCTGTGTTATGAACCTGGTTCTGCCACCAGACTTAGGACAAGACTCTGCCCCTCTCTGGGCCTGGGTCACACATCTGTTCAATAAAGGCGGGGCCGAATTCTAAGATTATCCCCCAAAGCTCCAGCAGAGGGCGCGCCCAGACTGTCTTTTTCTTGGCTACCTTGGGAGAAAGAAGTTGCCCTAGTTGTGCTTTGGCTCCTCCTCAGCAAGAAACAAACCACCACCACCGCTCTGAAGTCCCAGAAGAGTCAGTCCTGCACTCTGCCTCTGGGTAAATGCTTAAAGCTTCAGAATGGGAATAGCCTGTTGCAATAGCAGTAATAACAGAACAAAACTTATAATTCTTACAATAAGTAAAGGTAACATACCAAGTCATTATGTTTTCCATCCCTCACTTAATTGTCACAACAGCTCTGCGAGGTCAGTGAGGTCAATGTATAACCACGACTCACAGATCCCAGGCAAACCCCTCCAGCTAGGCCCAGGCTCACCCTCCACATGATACCTGTTGCCTACGGGAAGGAACAGAACCTGTGCAGGCAACACCATCTCCCCAAGCTCTTTTCGTCCAACTAGAACGTTGGCTCCACGAGAGTGATGAGGGTTTTATTTGGATGTTCACCATGCCAGACTGAAAGGCCTAATCCTGGCAGCCAAGCCACATGCTCTGCTGCTCCATCCTCAGAGTCTCCGCCAGCACATACAGCGGACACTCAGTGATACTTCTCAAATTAAATAGGAACCTGTCTACCTTCCACCACCCCCCTTTTCCTATCTGTGGGCACAATAAAGTGACTCCTAAGTACTATTACAAAAGGCTGTGTCCACTGTAGGCTGCTGTGCTGATATTCTTGTCCGGTATCACTAGGATCTGACACCATGGGATGGAGTTACAGGCTCCATCTAAAAGGAACAGACACTCTGGGCTTTTTGGCTCCCGCCTCGGCCCAGCTGACTTTACAAGACGCCCAGTGCAGGAAGCTGACCCTCCTGGCTCAGAGAGGGAGTATGACAAGCTTAAAGCCCAATCCTGAAACCATCCAAGCCAACCAGCTCCGGCTGCCCCCTCACCCCCTGCCTCAGAGAATGGGTTCCAGAGCCTGGGGTTTCTGTCTAGGGAGCTCTCTGCCCCCCAGAGCAAGCACACAGTTTCATTTTTCCTCAACATTTGCATTCTTCCCTGACTCTGCTCTTAAAAGTCAACAGCAAAAGTAGAAATAAAGAATCTTCAGAGTTGGAAATCTTATCAGAAAATGGTCATTCTCAGACTGTTCATGAGACAGTAAACTGTCAGGAACTCTCTGGGGAGTGACTTGACAAGATATTATCAAGAAACCTCAGCTTGTCCAGCTGGTGTCACTCAGTGGTTGAGCATCAACCCATGCACCAAGAGGTCGCCAGTTCGATTCCCGGTCAGGGCACGTGCCCAGGTTGTGGGCCCGATCCCCAGTGGGGGGCATGCAGGAGGCAGCCAATCAATGTTCTCTCTGATCAATGTTTCCATCTATCCCTTTCCCTTCCTCTCTCTCTAAAATTCAATACAGAAAAAATATTTTTCAAAAAAGACATGGGGAAATGTTCACATATACTGGTGAGTGAAGAAGAATCTCAATGACATGATCACATATAGTGATATTATTAAGTTCAATTACGAGTGAGTTAAATACTTTTGTATTTTCTAAATTTTACAGTGATAGAATTCACTTTCTTTTAAAATTAGTTAATTTCTGAGTATGTGTGCATGTGGTGTAGAACGTAAAAGACCACACAAGGAAAACGAGTGAGCACGGTGCGTTCTCAGGGAACCCTCCCCAAGGCGAGCGCTGTGTGTCCTTTCACAGATACTCTGTGCCGTATACATGTTCCCTCACCCATCCTCCCTCCCTTCCTTTTTCTTACTTAAAACAGAAAGCTGTTTTCTGTCTTGCTTTTTTCATTTATAAATATATCCTGGCAACAATTTCAGACCACCCCGAAACCATTGCAGCGCTGATCGTATCAATTAACAAAGCGTTAGCATGGTCCATGTTTGTTGGGTGGTATCAGTAAAACTGTCCTTTTGACATTTTTGTTCAATTCCTTTGTTTTTACTGTTTAATGGTGCATAGATGGCCAAAACTTACACTTCCTTCTTTTGTGCCTGCTGGTGCCGAGTGTAATGTAAGTTCCACAAAAGTGGCGAACTGGCTGGCATGTGCGCTGCTGTATCTGAGGCCTAGTACTTAGTTGAAGCTCAATGAATGTTTGATGAGTGAGTGATATTCTAGATTCCAGGGCAGAAAGAGCCAGGGGTGTGCAGCCCTGAATCATAACGATGGCCAAAGGCCTGGCTCCATCTCCACACATGACAGTGACCCCTGATGAGTCCAGCTTCATTTCCCCATCTGAATAACGAAGGCTGAAGTATAATCTCTAAGTCTCTTTAGTCCTGACCGACCTTCCGACCTTCCTTCCTTCCTTCCTTCCATTCGTTCGTGCATTCATTCATTCATTCGTTCATTCATTCATTCAGTGTTTACAAACCACCTTCTATATGCCAGGCACTGTGTCAGGTATGGGGTATACAATGAAACCTAAAAAGACACAATCTGAAAAGAGAAAAGGCACTGACCAGGTAAACAAGTCTATCATCACAGGGTGTGACACATGCTAGGAAGAAGAGAACAGGTTCTCTGTGGGGGGATGGTTCAGTCAAAAGGCATATGGTCCGGGGCAACCTCCTGGAGAAGGGACCCTGGGCTGAGAGCTACAATAAAGCTCGACGGACGGTGACCCAGACAGAGCTGACAGACAATCTGGGTCCTCGGGGATCCAAATCTCCCGTCTCAGATGGAGCCCTATCGGGTGCTCAAGAGGTTTTGGTGTGTTCCTAGGGTCTGGATGCTTGTAAGGCATTTGACTGACCCTGAATGCCCAGGTCAAAAGAGAGGCGCCTTCTACTCAGCTTCTCAGACTCTCCCTCGGCGGCCCAGGGTCAGAGGTTATGGTGCCTACAGGTGCTTGCTCTGGGTACTGTCAGGTTTCCCCACAGGAAGCTGCCTCCTCCCCGGCTTTTCATCTCCCCCAGCTTTATAAACTGAAGAGGCCACGGACTCTGCCAAAAGCTACACAGTCTGTTCCAAGTCTGCAGCTATTAGTCCTCAGTGCTCAGGCAGATTCCATTACAGCTCCAAATTGTTTTCCAAATATACCAGAAAGGTCATTTCCTGTTTTTTCTTTTAAAAAATTAAATATTTGCAGAGACCATATAAAAAGCAAGCAGACAGTTTTGCAGG